ATGTCATTGCAATGTCGCGCGACATTTCTGGCAGGAAGCGCGAATCCCTGCTGATATACGGCGACTGATCCGGCTGCTTGAGGGTATCTGCTAGATTCCGTCCCTCCCCATCGCGCAAGGTGTAGGACAAGCACCTTGCCACGTCCCGAGTCACCGTCGTCTATTGACTTATTCCATCACCGACACTTAGCCTGTGCCTTCACGGTATATTTGAATATCCGCTGAAAACGTCAGCCACATCTAGGGTTTAATTTGCCATGTCGCGAGCTTTTATCTCGCGTTAGCTTTATAAATGAATAGATATACCCCTTGAATATCTTGCCGGACACTTCAAGGCGAATAACGCCCGCAAAGGAAAAATTCGTCTCCGTGGCGCAATTGGTTAGCGCGTCTGACTGTTAATCAGGAGGTTGGCAGTTCGAGCCTGCCCGGGGACGTTTCTTTTTTGGTTTAATTTTTATTTACACTTCAAGATTGCAGCTACGGGGAATGATGTTTACGAAACCATCGTGACCATTTCTGGTCGTCCGTACTTTAGCAATCACGGAAACGTTATCGCAACGCAGGTGTGCACATTACGCAGATATGCTCAAGCATTTTCAATGTCCAATGCCTACACGGCTTCCCCAAACGAAACCATCGCGTCCGCCATGAGCCCTGACAGAGACAATGACAGAACGAGCCCACCTTCATCAACCCGAATAGACTTCCTTCGGTGCCGCTGCATCCTCATGACCATCTACTAGCCCCAGGAAGGGAAGACTGAGCAACGCCAATTCACGCAAGAAGAGTTGGTCTAGCGGCCGTCCTCAGTTGCGGGCCATCATCGCATCAATTCAGTCTCCGTGGCGCAATCGGTTAGCGCGTCTGACTGTTAAGCATTTACTTGTGATCAGGAGGTTGGCAGTTCGAGCCTGCCCGGGGACGTTGACGAGGTACAGCAAGTACCTTTTTTTGCTCTTTTGAGCACTAATCATGACTCGTGTCAGGGGGAGCAGTCGTGCGCTCTTACCCTTTGCTGCCATACGACAAGCCAGGGAAGGGACGACCGATCTCTCGCAGTTAAGGCTGTGTGGAATAATTGGTCCTGAGTCAAGGAGGTAACCAATACCTTTCGCTCGACGTTTTATGGCTCCTTGCGAGCATTCCCGTCTCCGGATTGCTCCGTGTCGAACAATGTCGTCTCTCCATTCCCTAATCTCGAGTCCAGGGGAAGGTGGAAACGACGTCTCGATTATGAGGAAAGAGATACCGCGAAGCTGCAAACTCTTTAAGACATTCAAGCAGATATATCATGGAGTCAGCTAAGCATTCGCGAGGCGCGCATGAGTAAAGGAAGTGCACGTAAGTATATACTGGTGTGAGTTGCTTATGCAAAGCAAAGGAAGACCCCTTTTCAAAGCTGTTCAGCACGCACTTTGCCTCCACTTCTCGTTTCCAGCCGGCGCATGTCAATTGTCCGTAATGTCGTTAATCACAACATGTTATCCATCAGCAACCTAAGCAAGAAATGCATGGCTTTGCTGCTAAGGTTAGCAGCCGAAAAAGCCGTCATGCTTTTAACGGTAGGTCAACGGGAGTTGTTCCACCTCCAGAATCGCTCATCCAAGTTGATAAGACCATCTCCGATGAAAGTTCCAACCGACGACGCAACATCCCAAACGGGAGCCCACCACGGTCTATCGCGAGCTTCATCGTCTTACCGGTGTCTCAGTAGTGTTCTTCTCAGATATGACTAAAAAGGTGGTGGTGGAATGGACACCTAAGCTCACCTAAAGACTCTCCCGTCAGTGCTGCAGCAGCAGCACTCCCGCTCGCGACATAGGGAGCAGAGCTCTTTCGACTATTGCCACCACCTGCACCACCTTGCTCTGACGATGCGCCAATTTCCCGCGAAGAGGAGAAGGTCC